CAAATACTAAAGGGCTTCGCTCCCCAAAAAATGTGTTTCTGAAACAGCACAAACTGACAAAATAAATCAGAATTAGAACAGGGCCAAAACCATCTCTTATAGTGACTCCATTAAAGAACTCCAAGGCTGTGCTCAGCCTATCATGTTTGCCCCGTGCTCTGGAGAGCTGTTGTACTGGGTTTGATCCAGATGTTTTATGTTGCAGGGCAATTGTTATTACAATTTCAACACTAAGTTAACAGAAAATATGAGCATTTTAGAAGCTGTCTTTTCTTGATAATATTTGGTTAGGAACATTGCCTCACCTTCCATTTTACATCCCCACCTTCCATTTTACATCCCCATCAATTTAATATTTTGAAGTGAATATGTAATCTGATGTAACTGAACTTCTAATCTAGGCACATTTATAATAGTCAGTGCTCTATCAAATCAGGACTAAAAACATATCCAGTGGAAGTACAGTAGCGACTAACGCCATCTTGTTTTAATGTAAAGTTCTTTTATGATTTAGCAGGGTCTCCTCCCAGGAGATATTTCCTAACTGGTTCATCTAAGTATCAGTCAACACAAATGTCGGTCATGAGACTGCCACAGTCTAGAAGTCTGCATGCATGCCAGTATGGTCAAAAGCAAAATACTTTCATACTAGATTAACTTTGTAACAAGATCCAATTGGTCAAGAGTTCTGCATTCCTCTAATATTTAAGCACAGGGCACCAGCAAAACAGGGCACATGACATTCATTGCTGTTCGTGGGAGACAAAAACTTAATTCTGTTGCAACATCTTGAAGATTTGCTCCCAGACTGGTGCCTCAGAACATTCCCTTAAGCAAATGAACAAAAGAACCTGTCAGTATCACAAGCTACATTTTGAACGGAATCAAACGGATTATAGATGAAAATCTGTGTACTGAGAAAGGAGGCTTTGGAACAAAAAAAGTGTGTAAAGCACATCTTTACCCTGGGACAACTGATTGAAAAAAGGCTTGTTCACCAGAGATTAGTCCTGAATTGTGCAGAGTTCACCAAAACTTCTGACTGCATTGACGGCAAGTCACTATGGAAAATCTTACAAAAATATGGGCTTCCTAAAAAGATAGTTTTCACTGACTAATATGCTGAATGAAGGTTCAAAAAGTGGAAAGACTGACTGGTTTGATATCATCACTGGAGTGCAACAGAGACGCATCTCATCACATCTCCTCTTCTGCATTGTGATTATGTGATGCGAAAAGCAAAATCAAAGGAAGATACATGAATTACGTGGAGCAGAGAAACACTTTGGGGTCTTGATTTTGCTGATGACATTGTTCTGCTGGCACACAATGATGCTATGAAAAAGACCATGATCAATGTCAAATGTGAGGCTGCCCAAGTAAGTTTAATCAGCCAAAAGGAAATGAAAGTTATGATCATTGAAAGAGGAGTCAGCAAGGATGGTGCATATGTAATTGAGAGTGAAGAATAAGGCATGGTTAACAAATTTGTATATCTTGCAAGCACAATTAGTGCTCATGGTCAACTTCGTAAGGATAAACAAGAACTGGGAAGGCAAGTGGAGCCATTTTGAGATTAACAAATGACTGGAAAAAATAAGGAGACTCACACAAGAGCCAAAACAAAAAGTAATACATTGCCATTTTGATGCTCTACGTTTCTGAAACTTGCTAAATGCTAGAAACCCCCAACAGGAAAAATGCATTCCAGCAGAGATGCTTGAGAAAAATACTTGGTGTCTGCTGGTGGGATAAAGCAACCAACACTCCTTACAGACTGTAGAGACAATGATTCGAGAAAGAAGGCTGAAGTGTTTTGGACACGTTGTAGGGATGCCAACGAAAACAAACAAACAAACAACCTGTATTCCTAGAACAAGCCTTTGACTGGATACCACTTCACAGAAGACAGAGAAAAGGAGGACAACAAGTGATGTAAAAGAAAACCATCGAGAAAGATGTCACTGTCAGAAACAGACTACAATGAAGCAAGAAATGTGGCATTAGACAGAGGTGAAAAGACAGGGTGGCTTCTTGTCTCACAAGGCACAAGAACAACTAATAATAATAATAAATAATACATACCCTATGCCTCAGTCCTCTGAAATTTAGAATACAACCATGGGAAGCTGCAGATTCCATTTAAATATACATTAAACTACTTAATCATCCTTAGAAAGTTTAACTTACAAACACAGAAGAGAGTTTTACGCCTTCTGACACTACCTTTTGCCTAGGCACTGAGCTATTTCTTTTCTGTACTGGTGCTGCCCACTGTGATCTAAACAGCAGCGTCAAGAGCTGCCAGGCCTTTGAGTCTTCACTCTGGTACAATTTACTTAAGCAATGAACAACAGTGACATCAACTGTCTGCCTGCAGACTTGGGAAGACAACACAGCACCAGTTCATGTCACTTCTGTGTTTGGAAGTTGCCCCGCAGCCATCTTAAAGGCTGGATTATCTCCATGAAAGTCCGAGTTTATGGAATATTAATGAGTGGCACTTGCCAAGCAATCTCATGTGTGTGCATGTATATTCCAAGACCCGGTAAACAAAATTAGATTTCAAATCTTCAGGAAATGGAACAAATAATTCACTGTATTTATATGGTAAAGTACACAGTTTTAGATAAAACGAATTTGAAGCAAGCAGTAAAAAATTCTGAAAAACAAAATTTGGATTGGAAATGTCAAGTCAACCTTCATTTAGAAGTGCTACTGTTACACTTATCTTCCACCAAATAAATACACGGCTATTGATACACATATTCTAGTCTTTGTAAAACAGCTTCCATTTTATTAGCTATGATATTCAGGGAGAAAGTATCCTCAAACTCAACTGTACAAAAGGAGACAATGAGCAAGTCTAGTTGAGGAACTATTACTTGATACCTAGAGTGGTTTTTAGGACATGCAGTTTACTAGTAACTCAGCAATAGTTATACTGCAAATGTACAATGTGACTTAAAGATATATGCAGCTGTGGAAGTTCATACAAATTCCAGAGGAACGAGTTCTACCACAGTTCTCTGAAAGAACTCCTAGTTGAGCAGGCTTCATTTGTCATGAGGGGGCCAATTATTATGGAACAACTGAAAGCAGAGTCTGGAAATCAAGAATCACTGTATTCATGGGACACCACTGAACATCTTCTTGCCAAGTTATTCCAACTCAATAGTTTCAAGATGCAGAAAAACCCTTTTAAGAGGAACTTAATGAAGATACTGACAATGCGAAGGATTTCATTAAGCAGTACCTGAGAACAAAGGCGGAGCGTTTGAGGGGCGGGAAGGGATTGAAAACAGAAGTCTGCTTGAGATGATAAGGAATCGCTAGTGCAAGTTCTGCAACTGACTTAGGACAGACTGCTGCAATGTAGTCTTTCAGAGATCTATTTCTGATTTGAGTTAACTTAAGAGTAGACACGTAAATTAAATAGGTCAAATAAATAACAAACACGTCCTTCTCCATGAAGCAATCAAAATGCTATGAAACTGTTCCTCTGGAAAAATTAGATTTATATATTTTATACACATATAATCTATGCAAGCTCTACCCTGTGAAGCCCAAGATTTGTACAGTAGTCAAGAGGAAGCAGACACAAGGCTGCTTTGGGATGTGCCAATATGGCTTTTGGTTCCCATGGTGTCAAAGAAACCATAATAATTACATTACCGGATACATACATTTTGGTCCTTGCTGTTCACTAATTTCAAAAATGAAACACACAGATAACGTGTGAATTGAAACAAGCACCATTACCAGCACAACTGATAAGCATCACTTCATACTTGTGCATACAGTCTGTGAGGCACTCACTCTTGTTTTCGGCAACATACTTCCTGCTGTGCACACTTTAGCAGGACGTGACTCTGTGTCATCCCTATTTGGTATTGGGGGAAAAAAAACCCTATGTTTAATATTGTCAAAACAAAGGGAGCTTACCACTTCAGTGATCTTGCCAAACTGGGGGAAGAGTTCCTTAATTTCGATAGCAAGGAAGTTGGTACCAATGCTGTAATACCAGAGGAAGAAAGAAAAGGAGTCCCACGGAGCCTGAATTAGTCATGCCTCCATCTAGCCATCAAGCTAGAAACATCTGAGTTTCCACAAGACCTTATTAGTGCTGCACAACTAACTGTCTATAGTCAGAACAATATTCCCTGCACAGAGCTGTGTGCATGCCAAGGCACTGAAGACTGTTGTTACCCACCTACTTTTGACAGAGATCATAATGAAGAACAAGAGATGACTATGTTGACTAGAAATGCACCACAGTTACTACATTTAAATGATGCCTCTACAATTTATTATAGACTTTATTTGACCCTTTAAATTGTTGTTGTGGTGCTTTAAGGTCACAGAGAACTCCAATTATCTCGAAATAACACATAGTAATAAAATAACACATAGTAATTGAAATATTTGCATTTGTTTCTGTTAATTTAAAGTGTTGATGGTGTCATTGTTTATCCCTGGTTTTATGGTAACAGCACTACTTGACAGCTGTACATCATACCTCATCTTAAAGTCGACATACTAAGCTTTGAAAATGATGTGTGAGTGTTGTGACAAACCTCCGAGCCTGTATTGGTGGGTCCCGCGCTTCCAGGCGGATTCAGTGGCCTCAGAAGCTCGCCAAGGCCCTCAATATGACCTCCTTTTCTCAGTATAACGGCAAAGGTCACAGCTTATTGAGCTACTTTCATCACAGGCCACTATGGGAGGTGGGAAGGTGGAATACCCACAGTCTCTGTTGCTCCTCAAGCTCAGTAGGCGCACTTTGGCCTCCTGCCTGGACCAAAGTCTGCTTCCCCTCTCAAGGGGATCTCTGTAGAGCATGGGGGGAAGTGGGGAACCTGGGCTGACCCTCTACTCTGGATTCCAGCCCAGGGACCCTAATGGTAGCAGCTGTTGGCGGTTTTTCCCTTCACCACTGACGCTGGGTTGATTCCCTGGGCCACTTCCCCGTGGTCCCCTTTTCCTAGCTTCACCCTTACCTCAGGATTCAGCAATGCTTCCTCTCCTCCAGCTCCTTTCACCTGGGCTTCTCCAGAGAGATCTGGAAAGGAGACCCCAAAGCTCCAATAATTATGTATAACATTGTTGCAGGGATAAACACTGTGCTTTCTCTTCTGGAAGTAGTGCTGTGCACTATTTTGTACTAACACTGGAAAGTATGGAAGTCCGCATTGTATAGCACGGCTTCTTGTCAAGTGAGCAGTGTAAGTACAGTGAACTAAATCCTGAGGACATTGGGAGTTACAGGTGCTCAATGACCCTGAGGGTTTTTTGACCAATATCTGAAGAGCCAGGTCCTGGCTCGGACTCATAGGAAGAAAGACAGCCCTGTTACTACCCATTGTTGAAGCAAAAATGGAAGTTGTGTTTTAAGACAAAATGACCTGTTACGCTAATGGGCATTAATATTTTTCCTGACACTGATTTTGCTTTCATTTGTTATGCTCAATCGATATGGGAAGCATAAATCCGTAGAAGATAGGCTAAAGCTGTGCTGTTTAATTAGCATAAAGTAATCAGGCACATTTTACCAAGTGTCCTCTGGTACAGATGGACCTGGATGAAATGACTTTCCAAGTCAGGAATCCCTTTGCTTTAATCTGCAGTGTGTGAAATTTCTGGATAAGCGGTCGAGATTCACACAAAGACTCTAGTGCAGTGATTTTCAAACTTTTGTACTGGTGACTCCTTTCACATAGCAAGTCTCTGAGTGCGACCCCCCTTATAATTGAAAAACACTTTTTTATATATTGAACCCCATTATAAATGCTGGATGCAAAGCGGGGTTTGGAATGGAGGCTGACAGCTTGTGACCTCCCCATGTAATAACCTCACGACCCCCTGCGGGGTCCCGATCCCCAGTTTGAAAACCCCTGCTCTAGTCCATCGGACAAGTACACTGTAGCTTCCACTCTGGAGTACTCTTTCTACTGAGTGTAAGGGATTACTTCAGTTAACTGTAAAAAGAAAAGGAGTACTTGTGGCACCTTAGAGACTAACCAATTTATTTGAGCATGAGCTTTCGTGAGCTACAGCTCACTTCACAAGTACTCCTTTTCTTTTTGTGAATACAGACTAACACGGCTGTTACTCTGAAACCTTCAGTTAACTGTGTAATAATTGCTGAGATAGGCTGTTTAAACCTTTTTGTGTTAGCCTAGGGGTGGCTATGTATTCATTTTCAGATCAATGAAAACTGATACATACTCCAAATGCAACATATCATGGTGTAGGCTGAACAGAGTATTGCTTGAGACCTCATGAGTTGTCTTGCACTATGTAACACTGGCTGGCTCTGAATACCTGGTGGCCACATCTAATTCTGGATGACAGTGCTGATGATAATGATCAATACTGCCTCTATTCTGTGATTTCAGTATCTAGTGGATTTTGTTTTACTTAATATCCATATGGGATGTTAGTTGAACTTCCATAGTGAATAAAGCAGCTGTTGATAAAACTTTACATATAGGAAACCCAGAGAAGTCATTAGTTGGTTCAATATCAGAGTTGGTGGATATGAATAGTGTGCATACAAGTTACTGCTATGCAATTACACATGGTCTAGAAAAGAGAAGAAGAAGAAAACCTGTTGATGGTATCAATCAATATTGCATATTAAGATTAATATTTTCAAAGAATGTTAAAGGCAAATCTTAGTCATATGCAAGAAATTCATACTTGAATTAATCTAAGCATTTGTACTATAAACATAACTGTGCTGTCACTGCATCTGAAGACTAAGGGTATGTTTACACTACCCGCGGGATCGGCGGGCAGTGATCAATCCAGTGGGAATCGATTTATCGTGTCTAGCCTAGACACGATAAATCGATTCCCAAGCACTCTCCCGTCAACTCCTGGTACTCCATCTCCACGAGAGGTGCAGGCAGAGTCGACAGGGGGAGCAGCAGCAGTTGATTCACCGCGGTGAAGACACCACAGTAAGTTGATCTAAGTACTTCAACTTCAGCTACATTATTCACGTAGCTGAAGTTGAGTAACTTAGATCGATCACCCCCACCCCAGTGTAGACCAGGGCTAAGATACCCTGATATGGCTCTGAATAGGCAGAGGACATAACAGCATAAAGTAGGACTTCAGAATACACTGGGGATATATATAATCATTTTAAGTAGGAAGGAAAACATTTAAGAATACTTGGAATGCATTGAATGAACCCATTAGGTCATATTGTAGGTGTTTTGAAGCATGATGATATTAACAACATAAGAATGACCATATTGGCTCAGACCAAAAGGTCCATCTATCCCCAGTCTCCTGTCTTCCAACAGTGGCCAATGCCAGACACTTCAAAAGGAATGAACAGAACAAGCAATCATCGAGGGATCCATCCCCTGTCATCCACTCCCAACTTCTGGCAATAAGAGGCTACCGACACCAAGAGCATGGAGTTGCATCCCTGACCATCTTGGCTTCATGGACCTATCCTCCATGAACTTATCTAATTCTTTTTGGATCCCGATATAATTTTGGCCTTCACAACATCCTCTGGCAATGAGTTCCACAGGTGACTGTGCATTATGTGAAGAAGTATTTCCCTCTTTATTTGTTCTAAACCTACTGCCTATTAATTTCATTGAGTGACCCCTGGTTCTTGTGTTATGAGAAAGGGTAAATAACACTTCCCTATTCACTTTCTCCACTCCATTCTTCATTTTATAGACCTTTTCCAAGCTGAACAGTCCCAGTCTTTTAAAATCTTTCCTCATACAGAAGCTGTTCCATACCCTTATTCATTTTTGTTCCTCTTCTCTGTACTTTTCCCAATTCTCATACGACTTTTTTGATATGGGGCAACCAGAACTGCACACAGAATTCACGGTGTGGGCGTAGTGTGGATTTACATAGTGGCATTATGATATTTTCTGTTTTATCATCTATTCCTTTCCCAGTGGTTCCTAACATTGTTAGCTTTTTCAACTGCTGCTGCACATTGAGTGGATGTTTTCATAGAACAATACACAATGACTCCAAGATCTTTCTTGAGTGGTAACAACTAATTTAGATCCCATTATTTTGTATTATAGTTGGGATTGTGCTTTCCAATGTACATGTAACCAGACTGAATGTCATCTGCCATTTTATTACCCAGTCACCCAGTTTTGTGAGATCCCTTTGTAACTCTTCACAGTCTGCTTTGGACTTAACTATCTTGAGCAATTTTGTATTGTCTGCAGATTTTGCTACCTGTTTACCCCTTTTTCCAGATCCTACACTATCAGGTGCATTTTTAACCATATAGTCATGGAGAATTTTAAAGTGACTGCTTGTTGGATATCAAACTTAGAAACTTTTTCCACAGAGACACAGGGTGTCTACCAATCACCTCAGATTTCTTATGTCCAACCTTAGACCTGTTTGGCACTATCTTTCTGCAGTTTTCACAGAGTTACTGTTGTCAAAGATTCCCATTGCAGACTTAGTTTTGTCAAATCCTTTTAGGACCTGCCTCAAGTACTGAGCTGCCAATTCACAGCCTGTGCAGAATTTTTCTCCAGCCATCATTTGTATGACAGCCATGGGATCTCTGATGGACACTAGGGTTCCTTTGTTGCATGCTCTTAGCTTAGGGATTCCTTCAGCTTGGGCTTCATGCTGATGCACTAACTCAGCTTCATCTGTTCTTCTCATTGTTCCATCAGCATGGAAGAGGGACATAGGCACAGGTCCAATTCGGTGATTAAAGACCTTTGCCATTGAAACATCATCTCTGCATCTTGCTAAGGACAGGGCAAGGAGGAAAACAATTTCTGGACTGATAGCTGCTATGACTGTCCCTCCCTTGCCACAGTGAAATTTGGTCTTCTTGGCCTACTAAACAGCTTCATTATTTCTGAAAACAAAAAATCCGCAAAAACACTTGCTAGTGCAAAGGCAATAAAAATCTTTTATACATTGTTGTTTGGTAGCTTTGACCTATAAACACCACATTAAAGGTGTTGAAATTAACAGTAAAAACTGTAGTCAGTCACATTGCAGTGTTCCTGGAACTGTGCAAAAAATGACACTCTCTCATTATGGGTACCATTGTTTCATCTCGCCTACAGGCTTACGGCACCACTTGATAGTTCTACATAATACTTCATCTAAATGTACATAAAATAAGCTTTCAAATGTTATATGATTTGTGTGTGTGCACGTGCTTGCCACATGCACCAGTGCCCATTTTTTGAAGAGACCCTCTTCAAAAGCTCCTGATGAGCCTTGGCATTATCTTGCGGAACTGGGTGAGGGGGACCTGTAATCGCTTCATCCAGCGATGAGGAGAATAAAGCCAGTGCCAAGGGATCCACTACATCACTTGGTGGTCCAGCTGGCTGCTCCCGTATGTCCTCCTGGGCCTGGGGGGGTGGGGTCTTCCCCTGTAGGGCCTCCACCTCTGGAGGAGGGCAGGATGCTGCGGCCGATGGCCTATCTGAGGCCCCTGCCACCAAATCAGGCAACCTGGGAAGCCTGGGTAAACCCCCATGGATTCCAGGGGTACCACACGGCCAGTCATTGGTCTGGAGGCTACAGAGTCAGTTGCGGTGCCAATGAGGTTGACGGTACCACTGATGCCGGGGCCTGTCCTGCTACCAGGGACTCCTGATCAGCACTGGAGTCATAAGCGGAACAGATGCTGCGGAGTGACCATGACCGGCTGGCTTGGCAACTCTCCTCACCGCGGTGCCACCTGTTGTACCTTGACGCCGTCCTGTCCAAATGGGACAAGTGCCTCCTGCGGGACCCCAGGGATTTTTGGCATTCGGCAGATCTGTGTCGGCAGACCGGCGATCTACGCCTCACGCTGCTTGACCTGTACCGGGAGTTGAAGCGAGTCGGTCATCAATAGAATCTCCCCAACCAAGGGGATTTGCATCTCGGCAATGGGTGCAGTCGAGTGGGTGACCCATGACCCCGTTGGGTCGCAGGACCAGTGCTGAAACCTGGAGACCCAATGGGTCGGTTTCAATGCTCATGGTGCGGAGGGGGAGGGTGGGCGCCTCCACAGGTCTGCACCAGGTTACCGGCGAGCCG